ATTTGCAAATGAAAGAAACCAAACAAACAGATACCACAATGAGCAATAATGAACCTTATATTCCATGAAAAGGAGAGGAGAAAGAAGGAAAACTAAACCCAAAATATTCTGCCAAAGATTCTTGGTTGCCCTATTATGACAAGTATTTTTTCTACTTACTACCAATTAATTGTAAAAAGGTTATGATGATGATGATGATGATGACAATCTTCTACTTACTATATACGCAATTTCATCTCCCGATGAATCATAACGAATCCAAGACCGATAAAGCAAGGATCCACATGAACGCAGCTACATTTCGAGGAGAGAAGATGAGAAACTGCCCCCTGAAATGAACCAGGAAATGGTCCATGTCCAGGGTAAAAGAAGCTCCGTGTGAGGGAGCATTTTGTAGGGGTTATGGCAAGGGTATCTTCTTAGCATATGCTTAAATATCCCTTTGCTTTTGATCATTTCTTTTATTTAAAAAAACTGGATTTTGATTTTTTTTTTTTTAACTTTAGAGGGGATTGGTGGAGTATGAAAGAAGTGGGAGTCTTATTTTTTTTTATGCCCTTTTGGAATGTCCTCTGGAAGAATATGAGCTTGCCACGCGGAATATTATCGGACCTACGATATGGGAATTGGACAGCCTGTATTACCTTATCTATTAGGAAAGGAAAATGTAGGGAAAAATAAGGAGCTCGACACAAGTATTTCCTTCCATTATTTATTCAGGTTTTAGGAAAGCACACATTTGCAAATCAGTCAGGGGGGTGGTATTCAGTTTGTATCAGCCGTAGGTTCTCACCTTGAATTTCTATCCAAAAAATGTTTCGGACATGGAAATCCCTGGATACCTCTAAAATATGTTTCCACCCTTGATTATTAGAGTTGTAGCTCAAAAAATCGTACACATCTTATAAATAGGATAATATTTGAAAATGGGGAGCCTGGATAATGTGCTACAATATAAGCCATTTTTAGAGTTTTGAAATCTTTTTTTTTTTTTTCGCAACTATAATGATGAAAGTCAAGATGATCGATTTAAAGGTTTTCCAATGCTAGAACTACAAGTTTAGATGAGATTTGTGTTGAGGCTTTACTTTTATTCCATAGAGCCTTGGCCGTTTTTTAACTTTTTTTCCCAAAAAAAAAAAAAAAAGAAGAAAAAAGGCAAGATTCAACTGCCCTATGCCACGATTCAGGCTCGATCCTCTTTGCGTGTTTTAAAGTCAATGGATGGGAATTGCCAATCTGGATTGATAATCACTTTGGAACGAACTAGTTCACAAGTATCGGGGGACGGTCCAACCAAGTGGTGGATCAACGCTTCCCTTGGGGAGCTAGGCGATCTTCTCGAGAACCTAGTTCCCACATATTCTATTTTTTTAATTTTTTTTTTTTGAACTTTTTTTTTCTGGTTATTATTTTTAATAGACCAATTTTCACATAGGGGAATTGGTCGGATTGGTAATTCACAAACTGTCAAAGATCATCGTTTGTGAAGCCGATTGGGGTCTTGTTTCCCCAGTATTTCATTTATATTTAATAATGGGTGTGGTTTGCATAAGGTTGAGGCGCTAAACAATCAAAAGTGAACCTTCAAATGGTGTCGAAAGATGTTATTTTAGTGAAGATCAAGTAAATATATGAACACTTGAAAATCTCAAAAATTGATGGTCTAAATAATGCATTACAAGATGTACAATTTTCAAGATTTGATGCCCATTTTTGTTTTTACGTCCTTGTATCTCAAGGTCGAGATCATTGAATTTGAGCTTTTTTTGGCATGAAAACAATTGCATCTAGTGAACTTCTTAAGTGCACCTGGTTTGATTGTTTAGGGTCTCAACCTTATATAAACCATTTCTTTTACTGATTGTCTTGTAAAGTATACCAGACACCATACCCTGTGGTTGTTTGGATTTATGGTACGCAGAGGAGCATCTGCTGTTAATATTTTAAAGAAAAAGTTTATATAAGGATGCAACCTTATAATGTAGAACAACAGATGCACCTTAAAAATTCATCAGAAAATATGGTTTTAATGTTGAAAAACCCTTTGATTGATCATCTAGACATCTAGATGTATGACCATGAAAAATAAAAAGATTTTAAGTCTAAGAAATAGTTCATTTTACAACATATTATCTACACCGTCCATTTTCAAGATTTTCATATGTTTATAGATCTACTTGATTTTAACCATTTTTGAAATTTAAAATTTCATAATTAGATATAAAAATAGATTTTGAGATAATCCTAAAAACATTTTACATCAAAATTATATACCATGATAAAATTATATTACCGCTACAGCTACATATGCATCTGTTTGCCAACTGCACCCACATTTTAATGATGCCATAGGTCTTATTATTATACTCTATATAATATATAATGGATGTGGTTTGTATAAGGCTAAGGCCCTAAATAATCAAAGTAAGACGCATCTTGAAATATTATTGATAAGATGTTATTTCAACACTATAAATCTTTGTGATTGCCTAACAATATATTTTTATATCTAATTATAAAATTTAAAGCTTTAAAAATAGTGTAGGTCGAGTAGATCTCTGAACACTTGATAATCTTCAAAATTGATGGTCCAGAAAATGCATTAAAAGATGTACTATTATCAGGCTTTGAAATCTATTTTTTATCATGTTCATACATCTTGAGATCGAGATGATTGATTTGAGGAATTTTGAGCTTCAAGACAATCTCTTCTAGTGAATTTTTTAAGTATGCCTTAATTTGATTGTTTAGCAATAATAAAATAAAGTAATAATTAGCTAGTACCATAATTTATTATAGTATTATATTACTATGATATATAAATATTTTTATAGTACTATAATTATTATAGTATTATATTATTATAATATATAAATATTTTCATAGTACTATAATATATAAATATTTTTATAGTAACGTAGTATATAATGGTCAATACATTATTATAGTGCTATATAGGAAAATTATCACAAATATAACTATATTTTAGTAAAATCGGAAACCCCCCCCCCCCTAATTTTTCAAAACCTTGCCTACACTCTTTTTAGCTTTTTTTGGACCAAAATGACCTTCATGGTAGTCTTTTTGACGTAAAGTGCATTGCGGTAATTTAAATACCATAATTTGTAGAAAGGTACACACGGTAATTTATACACCGTAATTCTTAGGCATTTTATACGGTAATTTAGTTACCGTAGTGTATTAACATAAAATTACAGTACTCAAAGTACTGTAATATCTTCCACATATTACGGTACTCTCTCTCTCTCTCTCTCAGTGTCTCTATCTCATATATAAAAAAACACACACTTCTCCTGAGCCTCTTTCCTTCGAATATTTTCACTCTAGACTCATATAATCAAACCTCCAACCTCTTCTCCCTTCCCATGCGTTTTTTACAGTTCTTTGCAAAAACCCACATCTTTCTTTCCTCTTTCCACACTTTTTGTTGCCCTTCTCTCCTTTGTAAAGGAACCCATGGACGCTCTGAAGCCCAATTCTCTCTCTCTCCAACCCTTTATAAAAAATCTGAATTCTTGGTGCTTGATCAACATTAACAAACCCTGGTTCATGACAAGATCTGCAACTTCTTCCGACCACCCAATTGACTGAACATGAAAAATCTTTCCTCCTTTTTTTTGACAAAATTTGGTAATTTTCCAAGAAAATTTGCATGCATGCACAACTCTTTCATAAAAACGAGAGAACCAAGAAAAAAAAGAGAAAACTCCACTTTTATTATAGAAAATAAATGTGGTAAAAACTTGTATAAATCATGAAAAGAGAGAAAAAAAACCCCAATTCAATAGCCACAACTGAAGAAGTTCCCAAACTTACCAATCCCTTCGCTGGAGTTCTATCTTGAACTCAACTTTTCCTCTGGTTCACAGAGCGTGGGAGAAGAGGGGTAGCCCTTATAAGCTTTTCTTTTCCTTTGGTTCACAGAGCGCGGGAGAAGAGAGGTAGCCCTGATAAGCTTTTCTTTTCCTCTGGTTCACAGAGAGCAGGATAAAAGCGGTAGCCCAGATAAGCTTTTCTTTTCCTCTGGTTCACAGAGCGCGGGAGAAGAGAGGCAGCACTGATAAGCTTTTCATCTGATTCACAGAGGGCGGGAGGAGAGTTGATAGCCTTGATATTAAATTCGATTTGAAGCTTTTCAACCAATAGGTGTTTGGAATTGACAGAGAAAGTATTACAGTAATAAGAATACCATTAAGACTTCACCACATATTACGACAACTAAATTACCATAATAATAATTCAAACTACTAACGTATTTAAATTACCGAAATACTCTTTGAATTTTTTACGATGTTTTGATTACTGTAAAGCTTGATTATAGTAAAAAGGCTACCGTGAAGATCATTTTGGTCCAAAAAAACCAAAATTTGTAAAAAAGAGTGTAAACGAGGTTTTAAAAAATTAGAGTTGTTTTTCCAATTTGGATTAGGATGTGTACTACAGTTGTGGCAAAAAGTACAAACAGTACCATAGAAATTAGGATGCATACTACAACTGACGCAAAAAGTCCAAACAATAGGAAAAGAGCCCAGGTTTAATTGGTTTGCGTTGACGATTTGCAACACTTTGTCCTAGGCTCTAAGGTAGGAAATGGGCTCATGCTTAATTGGTTAGCGTTTGACGATTTGTAACACTATGTCCTAGGCTCAACTCTACTCCCCACTGACTCACGCAAAAAAACAAAAGTCCTAACAGTACCACAGAGAAAAAAAAAACTCTCAAGAGATGCCCCAACTCAAAAAAAAAAAAAAAAAAAAAACTACTCAAGAGAAACCCCAACTCATTAATCATTATGTTGGAGAAACTAAGAATAAAATGGAAAAGAACATACCATGTTCTAAAAATATAATGGCACTTTCCTACTGGGCTTTCTATACCTTGCTTATCTAAGGAAGCACCAAATTCCTGATATACTTAAAAACTAAACAAACAAAGGTCTGCACTATTCAGAATATAAACATTGGCAGCTGGGAAAAGAAAAAATGACAAAGGCAAAGCCTGTATATATGTCTGTTCTTGGTGACAAGCATAAAGTTTTCATTTGTATTTATATCAAAAGTCATGCAAAGACATTCATCAAGGAGATGATATATTTACATGCATTGGAATAACAATTTTCAAATATCAAGAAAGTAAACAAACGAGGCTGAAAATTCTGAAACACTGGTGTAAATTGTTTGTCAAACTTGTAACTTTTTCCCTTGAAGACTGCAGCAAACCCTATCTCCTCAAGGTCTCCACAATATAGCTGGCATACAGATCCCTTCAAAAACAATATACAAAATAACTAAATAAGTAAGTTGTAAAAGAAATCCTTACCATTATTTTCACTAGATCAATAAATCACAGAGAGAGACAGAGAGAGAGAGTTACATGGAATGTTGAATGGCTTCATAGGCAGTAGAAGAAGGGAGGAACTCATCAACAGCAACTTCTTTATTCTCGTTCTTCTTGTCTGATTTTTCAATTTGTCAAGGCACACCAAATGCCATAGGGTTACACAGAATTCAATATAAAAAACACTTGCATAACACTTGCATAGGTGGTCCAGAAATCCTAAATGACAATACCTCAATCCATGATCTTTTTCTAAATAAATGACTTTGGGGAGTGATTTCATGCCACGGTCGTTTCATAGTATAATGGAACCACACTTCTTAAAAACCATGTTTGTAGTATTTGTATGACTCAAAATTTTGCATGCACACACTCTTCATCTCAATAATGAATCCAAAAAAAAAAAACAGTTCGATTTCAATCCTTGATATGGTCAAAATGAGTCCCCCTCCAACAACGAATCTAGACCATTCATTTGGTGAATTTCAAGATCTTAACCTTACAAACTCAAAATTATTTTTTTATTATTTAACATTGTTCATTTAATGATAATAAAGTCATCTAAAAAAATTGGAAAAGTAAAACTCCTAAGGCCTAGATCTAAGCATCTTATCAAAATGGATGGCCCATGTTAATTGGGCTAAAAAAAATATTTTCTAGGTTGTGTTTTCAAAATTTTATTTTTTGTGATTGTTCATTAGAATGAAAAGAGTATATATTTTAAATTTTGGATCAAACAAATGGTTTTAACGTGGTTTTTGAAGATTGTTGTATTATACTATGATACAACCGTTGCATGAGATCACTACCCAATGACTTTTCACCGGTATCCTGCACTGTTAGTATTTCAAGTTTTAAGAACATGTGTAATCTTATCCATGTATTCCAAGTGCTGTCCTAATATTTTTTACCGAAATTGACAACCGTGCTTTTCAAATTGGGTTTCTTTCTCAAATTGGGTTTCTTTCTCTTTCTTTTGTTTTTTTTGTTTTTCTTTAAAGGTGATTAAGAACATAAAATCAAAGGATACAGTCTTCAAAAAAGCGTCTGATTTCAGCCAAGCGATGTGGTGGAAGCTCCTTGATATCTGTGTAGTGCCGATACTCGGGATCATCCGCACATACTGCAATTATTTTGTCATCTTTTTCTCCCTGTTTACCAATAATAGGTAACTATTGAGCTTTATGTCCAAAAAGAAAATAAAATCGAAAGGAGAGGGGTTTGTAGAAAATAAATGCCTGATCAATCATAGGCATGAGACCTATAGCTTTTGCCCGGAGAAAACATCCTGGAAGTACTGGTTCCTATTAATGTTGACAAAAATACTATTAATGTTGACAAAAATAGAATCAGTACCCTGTATACACTTTTGCATCTGGATTTTCATCATTTTCATTAAGCATTAATCATAATGGGAAATTATACTGTAATCCCAAGGACTATGTAAAAACTTTAGTCCATCAGGCCCTCACCATCCATTGAGATGACCCTGATGGAGAGAGACTGGAACCACTACTGGGCCATGTCTTATTCTGGTAAATCCTTTTTCTCTCCATCACAATATAATATTTCAAGTGATGGTGATGACTAACTAATACGTATAATGTTAATGATCAAGAAAAGAAAGAAAAGCAAAAAAAAAAAAAAAAACCAAAAAGCAACATGTACCTGCATCAGGACCAAGACATCCATGGGATCATTGTCCTCACAAAGCGTCCGAGGGATGAAACCATAGTTGTGAGGATACACGACTGATGAGTATAATATACGGTCTACCTAGTGAAACATCAATTATCTAAAAGATTAAAACTTTCCAATGGGGAAACGAGATTTTGCAAGAAAGCTACCATAGCATTTCAAATATAATGATAATGCAAAATCTTTACTACCTTTATGAGCCCAGTTTTTTTATCCAACTCATATTTCACCTTGCTCCCTTTCCCTATTTCAACAACCTACAAGAAATAAACAAATAAATTAATGGGTTGAGAGGCAACTCATCTGATGCTTGCTAGATGCATCAACATGCATGCATCTAATAAACAATTATATCAAGCAAACATCTTTAGAGAGAGCATATATGTGCTGCTAATATGTCAAAATTCTCTTCTCATTCAAGTTTTCAACCTACTCAGGTGGTATCATGTTCAGAGTGCCAATGGATTCACATAGGAATTGCTTTCTTAACTAAATACCACCTCACTCTAACATTTCCATGGTCCTAATTTTCTAATTTTACTAATGGATTAGCTTGCTTAATGCGAACTGTCAGACATGTGCTAGTTGTGAAAATTGTTTTGAAGACATCTTAACAAATATACATCATGACAGGGTTATCTGATGAGGGCCTAAGATGAGAGCGGTTTTCAAATTGATGTCCCAGTTGACCCAGCTCATCATCCATGCTCAAAGAATTCCTTTTCACAGCAGTGCTAATTCCTCACAGTAGGCAGTATTGACATCAGTGTTTCACGTACTGCAGCACTGATATGTCTAGGAATTTGTGTTCATCTTTTGACCTAATTCTTATCATGACACCGACTTCAAACATCTAATCTATGAGCCATATTTTTTTTTCACTAGGTTTAATCTATGAGCTGAGTAGATAAATTACAAGTTTCATGATAGCTAATCAATATAATAAATAAACATTCAACGGATTCTTTTGATTTGATCTATTCAAAAGTATGGAAGTTTCTAAGAACAAATTATCATCAGTTATTCATGTTAGTAGTTAAATGAACATATTTGATTGCAGGTGATTTCCCTTAAAGAATATTTAAGGTTAATTCCCAAAGCACACATTATTAATGCATGTTCTTAATCAGAGAGTGACTACTAATGGCTGAATTAATATATCATGCTACAAGGGATGAACACATTACTTGTCCATGAGGTCAATTCTTTTATGAACCCACAGCACAATCTAGATCAAAGTGGGTTGAGTGTGTGTGAACTGTGAAGATAAAATTGTGGTGGTGATGACTACTAAAAGCTGGAACTCATGTGTCAGTCATTGTAGGTGCTTAATTGAGTTGTGACCACTGTAGTACCACCTCCAGCATTTAACAGCAGATAAATGAGAGCAGATAAGTATTTGAAATTACAGCTGTAACTGCACATTCAAATAAAAAATAAAAATGTAAATTAAATTATAAATATAATTGACACTATTATTCATGAATTAGTCCATATCATACTTTTGCACAAAAGCAAACATACGAAGATAAGTTATAAGGGATCAGCAAAGGATTACAAATACAAATCGTGGTTGGTTCATTACGGATGGAAGAATAATGACAAACAACATAAGTACAGTATGTTAGGGAAATTGACAGTGATGTATAATAATATAGACAGATGTTATGTGGTCAAGTGAGCATGAACACAAAAAACTTAAAAAGCTCACATATGCACACTTTGTCACTACATGATTTGGAGTGGCTAACGTTCTAAATTAGATTATCGACTGAAAAAGTATACAGGGAATGAAACCTTTAAACCAAAACCATGCTCCTTGGCATGACAGCACCAGAGATGGCCTGTTCTCATCTTGGGATTAAACTAATCTCAATAAGTATAACAAAATCTAACCATTTTAGTTTTCCCGAATTAGCTCAATACAGAAAGGTAACAAACCTCTGTTGGGTTAGATCTTAGCAAAAGATCCATAAGTGAGGCTTGAGGCGACATCAGAAACATCTTATTTTATTGTGTATAATAATTTGACAAGAGAAAATTTTCTAAAACATTTCAAAGGTCTTTTAAAATTTTGAACCCCTTCTTGAAAGGTAGTGATACAAAAGAGCAGTCAGCAACATAATTTAGAATTGAAGAGTTTAATGGTTGAATAGCAATTTTAAAAGTAACAATCAGAAATGCAAAATTTCAATTATTTTGATTATTTTCAAGGATCACATTTTTTCCTTTTGGTAGATATTCAATGTTCACACTTGAACAACAAAAGAAATAGCTTGGCATTTACAGGAATCGGTAAGCGGAGTTGATCAGTTAACCCTCAAGAAGCTGCAGGAATCGTTGGCACCTCTTTAACCAAGACTCAAGAAACTCAACTACAACAGTATCAACAACCAAGCCTAAGAGGGGCAAAGGTACTCACAAAGCAGACAGAAATATATTTTCTTCAATATGTGCAGTACCAATAATCACACCCATAGGGGGGGCGAAGGTATAAACAAGTCAACCAATTGACAAAGTCTTGGGTAGCTTTAAGTTTGGAACTTCGATGCAAAGATTCCCCAAATTCCATTGTTTCACATGGCCTGACTTTTACTTTTTCCTTTTATTTGTTTAGCTTCTGCCAGTGGTTTTTTTTTTTTTTTATACTATCACTGTAAAACTCTCTACAACAATATTCATATGACCTATTTATTAAATAAATTGGAAGCATAATATCTCTCTAACAATTTCATCATTGATGCCCAGAGTCAATTACAATGTTTTAAAAAACGGTCTGCCTGGTGCCTAGGCGGCCTGGACAAAAAATCTGCCCGCTTAGACCCAGGCGGCCCTACACTGGTGGATGTGCCTGGGGTGGCAACCAGGCAGGCTAGGCGTTGCTTATTTTTTTAAAACTACGGGGCACAAGAGGTTCTGGGCGCCCGCCTAGGTGCCTAGCTAGGCGTTGGGTGCTAGGTAGGCCGCCTAGCGTTTTTTGAAACCTTGGTCAATTATTTGGAATAAGGTATGCTTAGGGAGTGTTAAAAGTTTAAAAAAACATATATGATTGTGTAACTGGAATTTTATGTGATTGCTGCATACCAATAAAGCTGAAGGGCAAGTTCTATAAGACAGCTGTGAGACCAGCTTTGCTCTATGGGGCAAAATGTTAAGCAGACAAAAAACAATATTCATAGAATGAGTGTAGCGAAGATAAGGATGTTGAAATGGATGAGTGGCAAGACAAGAAGGGCTGCAATTCGAAATGAATCCATTCGGGAAAATTTAGGTGTGGCACCAATCGGCGATAAGATGAGAGAGAGTAGACTTCGGTGGGCTGGTCATGCGTGGCGCCGACCCAGTACAACATCTGCTAGGAGGTGCGAGTTAGTTCAAGTGGAAGGATTGAAAAGGGTAAGGGCTAAGCCCAAAGGACGTGGTTGGAAGTAGTCCACAAGATATGGGGACATGAGGATATGGCATTTAATAGAGCAGACTGACGGACCATGATTCGTATTGCCGACCCAAATAATTGAGAAATGATTATGATGATGATGATCACATGATTGTCATCTCTGAATGACTAAAATGTGAAAACTATAGCTTAAATTTTATTTCAATGACTATAACCTTAAAAGGAATGTTGTATGCCACGGCCGCAATTCCTATGCAAGTAATTTTACTAGTTCTGCATTCAAAATTACCTATCACTGCACAACTCAAAATGCTTCTGGATTTGTTTCCCTCACAAACCTAGGTTCCAAGAAATTATCAAGAGTAAATAAGATGTAGATATATGTGATTGTATTAGGTAATCATCTGAGTTAGCAATTAAATTATATATTAAATATTAAAAAATTGAAGCTGGCAATCAAATTCAGTTTGTTGATATTCCAATAGCTACTTGGTTCCACCAAAGGAATACTTCAATTCAAGCTATGTATGTGAGAGAAATAATATATATGCTTACAGAAAACCCTTTGACTGATATTGGTAAGGCTTCCTCCAGCAATTTGGAATTCATTCAGCAGCATGTACAACACTAACTTGCTTAGGGACTCTTTATGACATATTCTTGCACATAAACCTAACCATTTTCATGATGTGTTTCTTCATATAACTCAAAACCATACTTTTTTATTTTATAATCCAGAGGGTCAAGCTCTTCTAAAACTAGAAGTTTTTTTTTTTTGTGATGAAGTTAACAGTAAGTCTAAAACTAGAAGTTGGAATCCCAATCTACTCACTAGGTAGGCTTGTCCTTTTTGTTGTATAGATATCTCTGCCTTGGCTGGCCCCATGCCATTCATGCCGTTCTCAAGCCCGGGTAAGGGTGTTAGGTAGGCAAACAACATAAAACTTTACCACATCTTTTCATGAATCCTGATGGTGGAACAGGATTTGTGTAGCCGACCCCAAAAAGCTGGGCTAAGAGTCGGATGATGATGATGATTGAATAGCTAAAAGTAACCTTTATATCTATCTTATGTTGTTTTCCATAACTAGGATAGACAGGTTCCTTTTCCAATAAAATATCAAGGAGACAACTTGGAAAATTTACACTCCTACTTTCACTATAAAAAACATGTGCTTATTTATCTTGAAAGGGAACAGTTAGCTTGTAGGTAAGGGATAAACCTTCTTGGAAGCTGGTGTTTTTGAATGATCGAGTTAACAAACTCCAGTTCTAAACAAAATTCTGTTTCTTGTCATTCGAAGAGTTTGAATCATAGCAATCATTTCACTAAAAGGTGGAGGTTTTCCTTACTTCTCACAATTTCTAGATGCAACCTGAGTCCTATCTATGAGAGAAGATTGATAGCATTATATCTCAAGGAGGATCCCATAAATTCAAATATGATATATCAGAAACTCTCAGACAAGTATTAACAAACAAGTTCGCAAGCTTTTGCAGACCTGAAAATGTTCAAAGAAGGAGTCGAAGAAAAGCACAAATTGCAGATCTAACTGTTATGTTCAAATTTCTACTATGCATTCACTTATTATTAGCACTTGAACTCATCAATTAACATATGATGTCAGATACTTACACAATTGAAAACCGAAGGAGCTCCAGGTCCTGCATGTAATAATAAATGATTAGTGAGAGGCACAATTCTAAATATAATGGAAAAACGTAATTAGCGGGACAGGGCATCCGCCGAAAAAACATAGTGCCTCCTCATTTCTCCATTTTTGGATGATTAAGGGCCCGAAAATCTGCAAATTCATGCTCTTGAACCCCGAGATTAAGATCCTAAAAAAGAATGGCTTTGGAGATCTGGAAATGCTCCATCTTGAATGTTATCTCAAAATGTGACCTGGACTGTCCATTTCAATGGACCCTACGGTCATTCAGATTTGCATATGTGCTTGGCATGTGGCGAGGCAATGTGCTAGTGCGTCCCAAATATTATTTGTAGCTAAATATTGAATTTTACAGGTCAGTTGATGCTAGAGATCCTTATAAAACAGCATGCAGCAACTAAAGTATAAACAGCACAAAAAGTAGAGAATCAATGCTTCCACTATTTGAAAAATTAAGCTGAGTACCTATCTCAAGGTCATGCCAAGGGTGTGCTGCGACGGCCCTCCTTGACATGGATGAAAGTATCCTTTCATTAAGAGGAGGATGTGATGAGAGTGACTCCACAGAATTATATGTATGTTCAACTGGTGGAGCCATCTTTCAGACTCAATGTAGAGATGACTGATAATAGTAGGCAGGTTCCTTCTCAAGGTTGCCGTCTAAATTACTCTGCAACTCATATCAACAACTTGTAAGTCATGAAGTCTAAGGTATTAAACATTTTTCCAATAAAATAAATGCAAGAATGGGAGATGACACTATTTTTTTATGACGTCATCATTATTCAAATAAATGTTTCTTGCAACAAACTTTCCGTCAGAGGAGAATATGTTTAAGCTTAATAGCAAGATAGCACAAGGGAAATTGAAAAGAAAAACCAAAGAAAGAGAAAAACAGACCAGAAAAGCAATCATATTAATCAAAGCATTAAACGTGCTTCACAATTTTAAATTTATCCCATTGTCTTTTGACGTAAGTTTGAAGTTTTTCTAGTATTATAATTCCAAATCCTGTGCTTCATCTCATGATAAGCTACCAGAGTTCAACAATGATTTTATAGGAAAGATATCTCTATCAAATAGTGAACAAATTTAATTTCTATTCCACACAGGTACAAATTTCAGACACATATTGACATGCCTGCTCCCAAAACCATACCTTATACACATGTTGACACTGCACATGGCAGTTGACACTTCTGTGACATGCCAGATCTCTCTCAAAGTTCAAAAATGTAGATTCGGACACCTAGGCGTTTGGATGCCTGGCCGCCTAGGCGCCTGCCCAGAGACAGGGTGCCCTCACCAAAATTGAACCCCCTCCCCCTTCCCCCAAACAAAAAAAACAAGGGAGTTCTTAGGGCATGGTTTTAAGTGTTTGGGAGTTTTTAGGGCAAGTTTAGAGCCCCAAACTCCTCGTGAAATAGACAAAAATGTAATAGTACAATCACATAACAGATTTACGGATACAAGTCTCAAAGAGATTGTAATTTGTAAGACATTAAAACGCTTGAAATCCCAAATATCATTGTAGGAAACTAGAAGTCCGGACTAGAAATGATACACAAAGTCAACAAGGCAAAATCCAAAAACAAACATGTCATCAACCAAACATGTAAATATATAGTAAAAGGAAAAAAAAAAAAGGTAAAAGAAAAAACACTTGATTCGCAACGCAATATGTTGTAGCAAAATAAAATCAAAACCCTCTTTCAAATATGATAATACTTTAAAAATATTAAAATCAAATCGATGTTGGTGCAAGCTTCATCCATTGGGTCGTCAAAATTCCTCAGAATCAACTACTAGAAGTTCTAAATCCACCCACGAACTATTGCCTTTGTTTTGAGAAGAAATCGCAAAAATCAAAACTTTATCGATCTTTCGATAAATCACAAAAGAGTAGTTTTTTGGAGAATTTTTCTCACCCTAAAAGCCACAGTTTTTGTTTTGGAGGTTTAGAATACCCCCTAAAACCTTTTTCCCCCCTTTTTAGGGGGGGAAAATGACATTTTTTTACCCTCGCCAAGGTTTGTTTTACCCTTCCCGAAATTGTCACTGGGCAGCACCTAGGCGGGCGCCTAGACTGTAGCGCCTAGGTGGGCGCCCAGAGACAGGCCGCATAATTCCACGGCCTAGACAACACCTAGGCGTTTTTGAAATTTTTCGCCTAGGCGGTTGGGTGGCTGAATTTTCGAACACTGATTTCTCTTAACTTTTTTAAGTGTGAAACACATAAGGCTTTGTATTTGGGAAATGAAACGCATTCCTGAATCATGGACACACATGTCCAAATTTGAGACTCATTTGTCCATGATTTAGACACACATGTTCAAAACTTGGACATGTGAGTCCATTAGTTGAAAGTGTGCGTCAATACATTGACCACATGTGTAATTTTTCATTAAATTCCGGGGAAAATATCTCCTTATCCCCTATTTTTAACTTCCATATCTCATGAGATCCAAGAATTGAAAATATTATCTTTTCTATCTTACAACCCCCCAGACCCCTTTGACCATAAATTTTTGACCCAAACAAACACTAAAATGACACCCTATTCAAACTCCATCTCTCTCTCTCTAAAACCCCATCTCTCTCTCTTCGCTTCTCGGTGAGTTTACCAGCCAAGGGGTTTAGCTTGAGCTCTAACACGAGCACACCTTCTTATGTGTAAGAGAGATATGAAGTTTTAGAGAGAGAGAGAGAGAGATGGAGTTTGGGTTTTAGAGAGAGATGGAGTTTTAGGGAGAGAGATGGAGTTTTGAGAGATAAAGAGACGATGATGTGAGAGAGATGGAGTTTGGGTTTTAGAGAGAGATGGAGTTTTGAGAGAGAGATGATGATGCCAGAGAAAGATGGAGTTTTGAGAGAGAGAGACGATGATGTGAGAGAGAGATGGGGTTTTAGAGAGAAAAAGATTGTTGAGTTCAATAATACATGATTAAAAGTGTTTAGGGAGTTGGAAGATAGAAAAGATGGAGTCCTTTTGCTTACAAGTAATATTTTCAATTCTTGGGTCTGATGGGATATAGAAGTTAAAAATAAGGGATAATAGGATATTTTCTCTAAATTCTATTTTTATTTAATTAACATATTTGTTTGATATACAAACATGTAAGTACCCACATTCATTCATACCAAAAACTCAGTATTACAGACTCAGCATCTCCGCATCCTTTTAAAATAGTTTCGTTCAATATCTCAACGATATCTAGACACTTAAAAACAAGTCAAAACAAATAAAATGCCTTTGGCCGACAGCTGTTCAACATTGAAACTCATTTAGAGTGGCAGGGGCACACACTACCAAGGACCGCCACCATACTATCATAGTTTTGGACATAACCCTTGGAATGTCCACATATCGAATGCTCCAATATTAAATCACCAAAAGGTTGAAACTTATAGAGCTTAAAAATATTGTGACGAGTCTTAAAATCTGAACTCCTAAATGCTGCTCCTAGGACTAACCACTATTGTGTAGACTTATCCAGCATGTTTGGCTATAACTTTTGAAATTCCAAGAACATTACTGGTACCCATGTTTGTGCATTTATATTTGTTGGTAGACATGAAGAGTGACTCTTTATCACAGGGTTATTTTTTGTGAGGTCTGTGAACACTCAAAAGGGAGAGAGAATTCCCCATTCTGTATTTTTATAAGGATATCCTTAATTAATTACATTTTCTTTTTCTTTTTTTCTTTTCATTTGAGTAAATACGATTGCAACATACTTCGCCCTTGAATCACTTGATATACATACAACTTTCTAATGAACTGTAAATGATATTGAAAGCTTAATGCTTTTACTGATTTGTTTTTTAATCAAATTAAACCTTAGGGGGCACAATTCTTGAGATATAATCCACGAAACTTTGAAATGGTAGATTTGCCCAAGTTGTATATTGTAGAAGTGAGAAAAATAGAGAAGGATTATCATTCAAGGCAAAAATAATCATTAAGAGAGTAAGACTGCACGCAATTAATCGATAAAGGCCCATTCATGGTGTGAGTAAATGTTTCCTTGAGTTATCTTCATTAGTTGATGGCTACAATACAAAGCACCTGTGATGACTCCAGATAGTGACTTCCAGCTCTAGTAGGGTGTCTAAACTCATTCTAGCAAAAGCACCTCACCCCTATTGAAGTGGGAGGACTATATAGCCCTTCACCTAGATAGGTATGAGAGTAGTAGAACCAGCAAGGTTGTTGACTCCACCACGATGAGGTGCCTGCCATTAAGGACTACTATAAGCCTTTACATAGGAATTCATGATAGTTTACTACTCCGTACTATAGTGCATGATTCCCTAATCCTATCAGTCACATATCCATGAGGAAGAGCTAGAGAATATTGCAGATCTTCTTCAGGACACTTTCATTCTGCAATGTGTATAATCTTCTATAGGCACGATGAAGTGATTCAGGTGGCCGATAGGCACCCAGCAATGGTTTTGTCAACAAATAGGTTACTGAAAAGGCAGAATATCTTTCGGAAATTCAAGCACACTAGTGCTTTGTTATGCCCCTCGCCTGTTACATGATAGATAGAGAAAAAGAAAGGCTTAACTGTCACAATTATTTTATTTTTGTTAGGCTGTAATTTCCCAAGGTCGTTAGAAGAATTATATCAAGAGAGCACATACGTGAAAAGGGCATCCAAAAACAACAGCTTGTACTTTGAACAAGTAAAAAACAACGAGGGGTTTTTGAAGTTATCTCAACTAGTCCTGTATCAGTATCTTGTTAGTACATGATAGTAAACTAAGAATCAGCATTGAGTGCATCATTTTACAATGTTAATACAAAGAGCTCCCCAAAGAATGACCAAGTCATCAAAAGGTGACACCAATAATGTCTTTAATGTTAATACAAAGAGCTCCCCAAAGAATGACCAAGTCATCAAAAGGTGACACCAATAATGTCTTTGAAATTCACATGTATTAATGGGAAAATGCTGGACAATCTGTCAGTAGGATAGCTGGGACGAATCACAGATAGAAGAATGCAAGAAAAATAACACATCAAGAGCAGCACACGGAGAGCTTCACAAGAAATATTTCTAATTTTCTACTCATGCAAATCATGCAAGAAGGCCCCCGAAATAAAATCCTGCTATGGAAATCTTGGGAAGAAGTCCAGGCATCATGTTTCACAAGAAATATCGTAAACCATACAATTACAAGGTCAGAATCCCGAAAAGGATAAATGAAAACAGATGAGTTACCATCTGTGATGTACATCAAATGGAAAACATAGAATAGATATGGCCGGGAACCAATGCCCAAGTTAAAGAAAGACTTGCAGTCAAACAGTATATTCAAAATATTAAGTAATAAATACTGTAATGAAATTTATTAACTAAAGTTTTAAAAGCTTAATGGAATGAAACTAATAACTAGATTTCAAAACTTATTGAAAAATGGTTACTAGTTGGATTGAAAAAGAACCATAGAATATAGACAAAAGTTGAGGAAACTCAACTTTAAGGTGGGGCCCTCTTTTTTAGGATGATAGGAGATATCAGAATTTTATTTTATTTTTTGAGAAAAGGTTAACTTAGGAGATATCAGAGATTCCCCATTGCATTACCGCATTCAACAAGAAAAAGCATGTCAATGACGGGAGAATATAACTATTCTACACATCCTTGTCTCTTTCTAATTTTAGAGTGTTCTCATCGATCTTACGAGAGAAAATTTTAATTAGAAAACTTCATTTGGAAAACTCATGGAGTTGAATAAAAAAGTTGATGTCGATAAAGATGCAGGTTAGAAGAAGCTAATAAACAGCCATATTCAACAAGAAAGAGCATATCCAGAGAATATGATTAATCTACATAGGTTTTAAGGACACTACAGATATGGATGGCATTAACCTTTTCTTTTACTAATTTTAGAGCATTACAATCAATCTTAGATGTACATAAAAAAAAAAATTTACAAAACTTCATTTGAAAAAATATGGAGTTGAACACAAACTAGAGAACCAGATGTCCATGCTTATCATCAGTTTTCTCAGCATAAAATTACATTACATTGGGAACTTTCTTCTCAGAAGAAATTTCTAATCCCTAGAATATAATCTATGAAGATCGTCATCATCATCATCATCATCATCAAAGTCTTTTCCCAACTAATTAAGGTCGGCTACAAATCCTGATTCGCCATTCTGCTCTATCAAGGGCCATACCTTCAGTGAAGCCATAAGTCCCCATATATTTTATCACTACTTCCAACCATGTCCTTTTGAGTCTATCCCTTGCCCTTTTTGACCCTTCCACATGAAGCACCTTCTAACAGGTGTTGTACTGGGCCGGGCCACACATGGCTATCTCACTTGAGTCTACTCTCTTTCATCTTATCGTCTATTGTTGCTACACCTAAATTTTCCCGAATATATTCATTTCAAATTCTATCCCTTCTTGTCTTTCCACTCATCCATCTCAACATTCTCATCTCCGCTACACTCATTCTATGGGTATATTGTTTTTTGGGCATCCAACATTTTGCCCCATAAAGCAAAGCTGGTCACACAGTTGTCTTATATAACTTGCCCTTCAACTTCATTGGTATATGGCAATCACACAAAATTCCAGTTGCACATCTCTACTTCGCCCACTTAGTGCAACATTTTCCTCAATCTCTATATTTTCCTAGATTATCGACCCAAGATTTCGAAAGTGCCCTATTTTTTATATTTTTTGGCTATCAATCTTAACTATTTCCTTGTCTCTACTCCTATTATGACTAAATTTGTATTCCATATACTCTGTCTTAGCCTGGCTAATTTTAAAACCTTTAAATTCTAGAGCATCCCTCCAAAGTTCTAGCTTTGTGTTGATGTCGTTTCGGGCTCATCGATCAAAACTATGTCATCTGCGAACAACATGAACCACAATACCTCATCTTGTAGGTGTCTAGTTAAGCCGTCCATAACTAAGACAGACAGGTACAAGCTCAATACTAACCTTTGATGTAGACCTATTGTCAGATAATATGTCTGACAATATAAAGTAGTATTTGGATCATGTATTTTGTGTCCTATAATTCAAAAGGGGACATACAAGGCAACAACAATAAAGTAGGAAATTAATTATCAAAGGTGAGCCTGCATGTAAGTGTGAAACATGGTCATTCTAATCAAAATCAATCAAAAACTGCTACCAAAGCCTTTACAAACGTAACAGAAGCCCTTGGACAAGATCTATAATAAAAGGGTGACCAAATTGGAACAATGATAAGATCAAACGGATTTTGAATCTAAAACTAGCTTTCCAAGAAATAAAATACAAGATGATACAAATTAGAGGACAAAGCCTAAAGCTATTAGCATGGGAAAGCAAAGCGTGACATAAAAACAATAGATGATAGGCATCAATAAAACAAGGGTGCGGTTTGTCTAGGGAAGAGGCTCTAAACAATCAAAGTAAAGCGCACCTTCAAATAATGTTAAGAAATGTGGTTTCAATTCTAGAAATCCTTGTGATAGCCTTAAAATTTATTTTCACCTCTGATTATAAAATTTAAAGTTTCAAAAATAGTGTAGATTGAGCAAATCTATGAAAAATTGAAAATTGTAAACACTGATAGTCCAAAAATGCATTACACGATACACTATTTGCAAAACTTGAAATCCATTTTTTTCTCGTGTCCATGCATCTTGAGGTCAAGATGATCAATTTGAGGATTTTTTAGCATCAAAACAACCTCTTCTAGTGAAATTTTTGAGGTGCTCCTTAATTTGATTGTTTAGAGCCTCACACTTATATAAACTTTTTCAACAATGACGATACTAACAGGGCATTTGGAGCATAGAAGACTATTTCCCAGCAAAAACAAAGTAAAAACTGCGTATAGGAGTTTGCATGCAACAATCAAAGCACGCAGAACGCATTCTCTCCCATGTACACATAAATAAATAAATAAATAGATAATAGATAAATACAGACAAACATAAAAAAAGTCAGGAATAAGCGACTTTGAAGCTTGAACAGATATATTTGCAGAAGGAAGCCAAATGCATCAGGCAGATTACAGATCCAGTCCCCAATACAAGAAAGAGATTTTTTTATTTAAACAAGAAAGAGATTAGAATGGCATAAAAAAACAGTAAAATGCTGATAAAACCGCTAGTCACCAAATCAAACAGCATTTCCAGCTAAAACATAACATTTTCTCACCATAATGAAAACGAACACCGCAAAACCTAGCTCAAACAGAGCAAAAGACCATTGAAAACAGTATGAGACTCAAATCCAAGCCAAACGAGCCAGAGAAAAGAAGAAAGAGAGCTTTCTAAAACTCAGAACCATTTCATAACATACAATGCAAATGCAAAACCCAGATCAAGGCCTAAAATAGAGAATGCAAACCCTACAAAAGGGTTTTCACAAACGAAACTCAATCCAAACGCACCTGGACTCAGGCTACCTGAAAATCCTCCCGGAGAACCGCTGAATCCAGGGAAAGGCAGCAATCGCCTGTGAATGAAGTTTCAAATGAGAAGGAGAAGTCTAAAAATAGCAACGGGAAAAGGAAAAGTACCAGCTCAAAAGCGGCAAAAGAGAGAGAAGAGAAGAAATGCAGGGGAATCGAACCAGAAGAGTAAAAAAACGCGTCACCCTCTTTTTGCAACGAGGATCCAGACCTTTCCCGCCCCTCTTCTCCTCCCTCTCTCTTTCCCTCTCTTCAAACGGGAGTGGTGAAATACTTATGCAAGCGTGGTAGACACGTGTCGACGTACAATTGGTTATTGCTGGGGGACCCATAGGATTGGGACGGAACTTCCAACGGTCTTCTGAGTATCCCAGTCAAGGTGGCGCGTGGATCGGACGTCGTGGGGAGCGCGAGGAGACGGTGATCGGACGGTGGAGGGCTAACAATGAAGATTTGGGGAAGAGATGGCAATCGGACGGTCAAGATAGGACGTTGAATTCGTTAATGCGGGAGAAGTAGCGTGGGAGCAACGTGTGCCTCTCTCTCTTTTTGGTTCGCCATTTGGGAAGGCAATGTGCACCACTTCACACGAATAAATCATGATAAAAGTTAGCACGTAGGCGTAGTGGAAAAAAGAAAAAATATATATATATATATATATTTTTATTATGAGATTTTTACTACTGTTACAAGCAATTCACAATTACTTAAAGCCATTAGATATTTATTTGGATGGCTTGGGAAGAGTCATAAAGTTTGAAAACTTTTTTTTAAGTCTAGTAAATGACACATTTACAACCACCCGATTTATAATGTGATGGACAAGAATGAGTGTGACCTCCTTGTACTAAACACAAATAGTCTTCTTATATACTTTTTCAAAAAAACAATCTTACAGATCTCTCTATAATTTGTAGTTTGGGTTCAAGGGACACCTATCGACCTCATTAATTAGAGATATGAAAAAATTAAATTAAATTTTAAATGAAATTGTATACTATGAGACTATTTATTGTTATTATAATGAGATCACAATTACTTCTAATCATTAGACCACCAGTATGATTTTTAACATATTAAATGGACTATCCATTCTCAAGTGTTCATAATTCTACCATGAGTGAATCATTTTGGCGCTTGGCAAAACTAGATCTATAGCAAAAATTACATTTTTCAACATATTTTTTGATATGTAATTTAATTTTTTCTTAAGGCTTAGGCATATTTTACTATCTAACTATAATTTAGCCTATTTTCCCCACTTAATAATCACCCTCATTTTGACTTTTGGAATATTCTTGTGGAATATTAATTATGCTCCAAGACTGGAATTTTTCCAGATTTTGAAAAGTCAGGCCACTTGCCCGGCTAGAAAGAAATATTCAAAGTTACCAGCAACGCAAGTGGCCAAAACTCCAAAAAAAAATTGATGCTTTTCCCGTTTGACTATAAACAATGTTAACAAATCACACATTGACACGGTTATGGCAATACTTTTGAAAATCTAATCAGAAATATAACGATAACTTTTATTTTTTGATAAATATAATGAGAATATGACTTTTAATAAAATAAAAAAAAAAAAAAAACAAAAAAAAAAAGAACATGGGTACTTGTCGATGAATCTAAACATCTCTTACTTTTTTTTTCAATGGACATTTTCGAAAATGCATCTTCATGCATGCATTTTTTATTCGACGAGAAGAAAATATAAATTACAATGAAACATTAGTAAAACGTGAAATAAATAGATTAAAAATATAGGGCAGAGGTACATTGTTTTTTTCTTTTTAGGAAAAATAACACATATATCCATTATTTTAGGCGTTACTACAATTTTACATAAAATTTTTACTTATTACATTCAAAATTTGGATATGACATGTATACCACTCTTAGGAACTCCAAAAGTTTTTTTCAAAAATAGACCTATTTTTTGATCTTCAAGATCCGAAATAAAAAATTTGAAACTTCAATGTACCAAATTACCCTATTTTCAAATATTTAAGTTCCGATATATATATATATAATCAGACCTTCAAAAGTCCGAAATTTTTTTATTTTCGGATCATTAGCATCCGAAATATAAAACAATACGGACCTTCAATGTCCATAAACTATTTCAGACCTTATAGGTCCGAAATCAGTGTAGACAATATTGAATAGAAACGTCGAGTTTTAAAATTTTGTATGAGAATAAATTGTGGATTTTTGGAAAGAGCAATCATTTGAAAAAGTTTGTGCTAACTTTTTTTTAAATTATTGGCAGAGAATCTAAAATATTTGTGGAGTAATTTTACCCATTTTATTGGTTGAATTTCATTTGTCGATTTTTTTATTTTGAAAACCTAAGATTTCATAACATATCTCGAATCATATAAAACCTAAGTTTTATATCTCTTAACCCCTTAGACTAATTTTACTTACTTTATTCCTTTTTTTTAACCCAAACAATTTGTTTAAAGTCAATCATTTGTAAATCCTATATTTTCTCTCTCTTCACATGATGTTCTCTTTATTTCTCTTTTTTTCTTTCCACTGTGACTCTCCCCAACCTCTTTTCTCTCACCGTATTACCCCTTTTCCTCTCTCTCCCCCTCCGTATATCTCACTATCTCTCACATCCTAATTTCTCTATCTTTCTCTCTCTCTCGTGTATCTCACTCTCTCTCCACCGTGACTCTCCCTAATTCCTCTTTCTTTCTCACCATGATTGTCCCCAACTTCACCATTACTCTCCATAATTTTTCTCTTTTTCTGTCTCCATCGTAACTCCCTAATTTCTCTCTCTTTCTTACCATGACTCTCTCCAACTCCACCGTGATTATTCCTAATTTCTCTCTCTCCAACTCCACCGTGATTATCCCTAATTTCTCTCTCTCCGCCCTCTTTCTCGATGACTCTCCCTAATTCCACCGTAATTCTCCCTAATTTATCTCTTTCTCTCTTTCGCGACTATGACTTTCCCTAATTTCTCTCTCTACCATGACTCTCTCTCTCTCTCTCTTATCGTATTACCCCACTCTCTCTCTCCCCCTCCGTGTTTGTCATTCTCTCTCACGTCTTTGTGAAAACACCTAACCTGAAAACCCTAACCTCTACAACCCTCGAAAATGGTAGTCTTGGAAACTTCGAACCTTTGCTATGGCACTTTGAACCTCTATAAATGACGGGATAGAGAGAGAGATTGTGTAGTTTGGGGTCGAACCTCTACAAATGAAGCTCTCTGTGGTTTGGATCCTCTGCAAATAAAACTCTATATAGTTTGAGTCATCTGCAAATGGAGATGCATGTGGTTTGGGGTGCGAAGATCTACTTCCAAATGGAGCTCTAGGAGATTTGGGGGGAGAGAGGGTGGGGAAACACAAAGAGAGAGAGATTGGGAAACATAGAGAGAGGGGTTGGAGGAGAGAAAAGTTGGGAAACAAAGAGAAAAAGGTTGGGGAAACACGGCCTCATGGGGAGAGAGAGTAGGGGTAAGAGAGAGCAAGAGACGGAGAGAGTTGGGGGTGATTAGAGAGATAATAGATTTGGAGACAATCACAGGGGAGAGAGAATGAGATAAATTTGGGAAAGAGAGAAAAAAAGGTTTAAAAAAGGATGTCTTTTTACAAATTGTTTGGCTTAAAAATAAATAAATAAAGTGAATAAAATTAGTCTAGAGGGTTAGAAGATATAAAACTTAAGTTTCTATGATTCAAGATACGTTTTGAAATCTTGAGTGTATTGAAATATGAAACCTAAAAAAAGGGGGCATGAAGACATTTTCCGTTTTTTATTTTGTAATTTGGATTTGAAAATCCGAAAAATAAAAATTTTGGATTTTTAAAATTCAAAAAATTCAATCATAGTTAGTTCATGTAAAAATAAATTTTGGATCTTAAAAATCCAAAAAGGCAATTTGGTTATTTTTTAAAATATTGACAAAATGTTGTAATAACGGATATAAAATAGGCATAGTAGTAATAACGAAAAATTTTAGGTGAAATTGTAATAACACTTAAATAATGGATTTATGTGTAGTTTTTCCTACTTTTAATCTTTGCAAAAAAAGAAATTACAAAATTTCCCCTCCACAATCTTTCCTTTCAGAAATACCCTTTAGTTTCTCCAATATTTTCGAATAAAACCCGAAATTTTCACATAATGCAAAACGTTTCTTTGAATAAAGTAATGAACCTTTTCAACAGATCCGGCCAATATTAGTACTGGTTTAAATTTGATGGAGTCATTCGACTAAATTGGTTCCACACAAACAAAAGCGGTATATTTGTGGGAAATTCAGGCTAATATCCCCTATTAAAATAAGGGTGCGGTTTGTATAGAGCCTACCTTCAAATAGTGTCGAGAAATGTGGTTTCAATATTGAAAATCTTCATGACAGCTTTAAAATGTATTTTCATTTTTATTTATAAAGTTTAAAGCTTCAAAAATAGCGTCGATCGATAGATCTATGAAAACTTGAAAATCTTGAAAATTGACGGTAAAAAAATGCGTTACAAAATGCACTATTTCCAAAACTTGAAATCTATTTTTTTTCTCATAACTATGTATCTTGATGTTGAGATGATAAATTTGAGGATATTTGGGCATCAAAACAACCTCTTCTAGTGAAATTTTTTGAGGTAGGCTCAAATTTGATTGCTTAGAGCTTCGGCTCTATATTTCCCTTAAAATAATGCCCCCTTGTGTCATATTTCCCTTAAAATAATGCCCCCTTGTCTCATATTTCCCTTAAAATAATGCCCCCTTGTGTCATATTTCCCTTAAAATAATGCCCCCTTGTGTCACATTTTAGGGTCATGCTTTTTAAATGTTTTTATTTTTCTATTATTTAGAAACTATAAGTGGCAAACCTTAAGGAATCAAAGTGGTTAAGAACATAGTTACCGTAAGCGCCCAACTAGGGTGGCGCTTCCGTTTCGGAACCTAGCTCCGACGCTCTGTAGTCGGACTCTTGACTGGAACTCATTCCCTACTTTTTGGAAGCTCGCTCCTATTCGATCCCGTTCACAACAGAGCTCGCTCCCGATACTACACGGAACGCCTTCCTTAAATTTTAGGATCTCGTTCTTGAATAAATTAGATCTCCGCTCCCAAAGTTTTAGGAGCACGATCCCTACATTTCCGGAACTCCATCCCTATTTTCTCGAAACATCCTAAAAGAAACTTCTTAAATAAAATTAATTTTTGAAATAAAATAATTATATTCTAAGCCAAATTTTCATAAAAGTGGAGTTCTGCGAT